TGGTCCCATTCTTTTCATGCAACGCCCATAGGACTAATGTTGAAATGCCAAAATCAAAGGGGGGCACGGTGCCCCGGTGCCCTCCCCGTTTCGCCGCCTATGCCAATCATCATGCTTGACAACAACAAAACGAAGTTAACGAGCGATAGTGTGGTAGTCATTATTCTTAAAATTGATCTTTACATACATAGCAGGTAAAATTGTATGACAGAAAGCACAATCAGTGGCATGATTTTCTTGATGGATAAAAATATCTGGTTGTATTTGGCATCCCCGCAGTCATCTCTGCCAGCTCGGCCCGCGGCCAGCTCTGCCTCTGCCACCTCCCTCGTCAACAGCATTCTCCGTGTCACAGACGCTGTCTGATTCCGGCCACGCATCCGGCGGGCACCTCCCCGCGGTCCGGCGGACTCCTGACCGCGGCCCGGCCGTTTGCTCCAGCTCCCCTCGTAAATGCCCTCCCGGAGACACCCAACTTCCTCCGGCGCCACCGCTGAACGGGCTGCTGGCCACCCCATCCCTCCTAAACGGCCGGCTAGGCACCTCAGCCCTCCTAAACGGCCTGCTAGGCACCCCGGCCCTCCTGTGTAATACGGCCGACTGGAGACACTGCAGTTCCTCTGGGGAGGGAAGGGGCGGTCACACCTACCTGACTCCGGTGGCACACAAAAACAGGCGGGGTGGTGGCCATGCATGACACTATGGAGAAGAGCGATCGATCTTTGAGTGATGGCATTGTTGCTCGGCCTGTAAATGGGAGGTTGGCTGGGTCGTCGGGAAAGGTTTAGCTGTGAGGCGCTTGAAATTGACTTTTTAAAAGTTAGCAATTTGAGAGTAGAGCGAAACGAAATATTACTTTGAATTTATAAAAGATAATTTGGAAATAACTACATATGCAGGTTCTTCATTGCATGATCCATGTACCGTAAAGAGGGCGATCATTTGTCATAGCACTTACGGGAAGATGGCTTAGATAATTTGACAATCACGCTTGTTTCAAGAAGCTTGTTCCATTTGTGTCAATGACTGATGCTGCTGGCATGAACTGCAAAAACAATAGAGGCCCGGTAACCACTGACATTACCGGCACTGATCTGAAACGAACACTGCTCGTTAGGTGGCGGCGGCGTGTCTTCATTTCCGCCGCGCCGGTCGGCCCGCCGCCGGCCACCTGCCCTCCCTCCCTCCCCTCTCCCCCGCCGACCACCCCCCAGCCTGCCGATAACCCCCTGTCGCTGTCACATACCGTATCATTGTCCCGCATAAAAACTCGCCGCTCTGCCACCCAGCCGCGGAAAAAACGCCGGAGTCGGGACTGTTCCCTGCCCGGGACGGTGGCATACCGTCCCAGTGGCGTCACTACCCTTCCCCAGTGACGTCACCGACGGCTGCGGACCGGGCCGGACTGGTGCGTGTGGATCGTCCCGCCCCGTCCGTTCCATTCAGGACTGGAGCGGGATTGAGACAGGGCGCCGAACGGCTGTCAGCTTTCTCTCTCTCTCTCTATTGTAGCCGTGGGAGATAGGTGCTACAGAGACAAATAGATGAGACTGGTATACAGCGGGACTTATGATGGGCGCTAACACACTGACACTCTCACTATCACTGTCACCAGCACAGGGATCAGTCGCACGCAATACTGCTTAAGGTGCACTGACATCAACCATTTGCCCGATCTCAGCTGTTCGTAACGAAAATGATTTTCGGAAAATCAGCATACACATTACCGGCAGATTATTGCTTAATGGGTTGTTTTCATTACGGAGCGAGCGAAGCGAGCGTAGTCTTTCCTTAGATTAACGGAAATTTCTGAGTATGAGCGGCCCGCCGGCCGGCCGGCCGTGGTCACGATTCTGCGACGCTTATATCTCAGCAACCACTTGACCGATTTACACGCGGTAATTTTGTAGGATAGCTTCATTCCTTCTACCAAGTATTGGACTATTGCCGATGCATGTGGGTGACCCCTTATGCACGTGCCACGTGCAAAACGAAGAGGTGTCACTTTTGTAATTGTTGCAATATCTCGGTAACTACTTGGCCGATTGCGCTGAAAGTTGGCATGTAGGTAGGCACCCACTAGGCAATGCATATCCATGTGCCAGAATTGGGGTGCTGCTGCACGTGCGCACGTGCAGGGGTCGATTCCAGATCTCGAGAACGGCTGGACCGATGGCGCTCAAATTTGGCACATGGTTAGGGACCGGTTAGTAGGGTGCCGTGCAAAACTCAGTTGGGACCCATTTTGCACGTGCGCACGTGCAGGGTGCCGCTTCCAGATCTCGAGAACGGCTGGGCCGATTGTGCTCAAACTTGGCACATCGCTAGAGACCGGTTAGTAGGGTGCCGTGCAGAACTCAGTTGGAGGTACCCCCTCGCAATTTCGCACGTGCAAGGCCCACCCTCCCGCTCGCTCCGTTAGTCGCCCCAAAAGGCGTTATACTGGTTGCATTTATCTGTTTATTAGACGGATGAGATAGTTGAAGGAGTACGATTATGCTGATGATGAACAGTACAAAAAGATTCCGAACAGCCTCCCAGCCACGCAACCTTGTCGAAGATGAAAGTACGAATAGTGCAGTTACTGCATAACAGTGACGACACGGCTGTGTTTAGATATTTCCAGATGTGTGTAGCAATATAATACGCCGTCATCCGATAGATCAATGAGTACGAGTACCTATGATAGTTCAGTATGCTAAGAGCGCACATAGGTACATGTAAGCATGTAAGTACAGAGCGTCGATGTTACTTTGGGTTTGGTCCCTTAAGGGAGCATTTCAATCACGAACTGTACATATGTAAATCTGTAATAATCAAAGTCCCTTAGGCAAAGATTGTAAAGGCTACACTATGCGTTTCCTGCGTGCGCTTTTTGCGAGTTTGCGTGTTTTGCGTAATATCGTTCAAAAAAATGACGATATTACGTTTTTGTGATGTTTTTATATTATATTTTAGTTAATATAAGAGTTATATTAACTTTTGTGTATAACTAATGTAAAAGTTATATTATTTATAACTTTTTTAGAGCGATATTACGCAAAAAAACGGACACCCGCAAAAAACGCACGGAGAAAACGCATAGTGTAGTCAGGCCTGAACACACTTAGGTAAGTTATGACTCAAGCAGGCGCATGGAAGCAGTGTAACAGTATTTCTGCAATATGAGGTGACTGTCATTCAAACAGTGAGCAATGCACGTTCAAATATATTCAACAGAATATGAGCACATCGCTAATTTTCAACACATGTCACAGAGCACTGCGATCCCTGATGACACATTGCCTAAAACAATGACCGTTTTGTTTCGTGATGACTGTGAGTGTGACGCCACATCAGCAAACAAAGGCCGTGTCGATATGATTTATCTTTTCACCACTGTTGATAACAGTTGGATTGCGGTACATGCAATTACCGAAAGGGAATGTCATCGGCTAAGAATGAAAGGGTACTTGTTAACTTAGGCTACAACAATAAAATTATGTCATACATTAAACACAGCTCATGAGTATCAAATAGTTGAAGCCAATATTAAGTTATTAGAGTGCTGTCCCTATACATTTTCCAATATCCATTTAGTTTCATCAATTATTTCAAGCATGATCTCTGGTGGATCCAGAAAGGTGGTGTTGGACGCTGCGGGTTATCCCCCTAAAAACCTGCTCAAACTTAAAAAATCATCGGATATCGATTTCTTACGCGCTGCTGGACAGTTTAAAATATTTTCTGTCATAAAAGTTGTTTAATTTCCGTTTTATTCTCGAAAAGCTGCAAATTTTCGTCAAATCTGGGCGCTGCGGGGAGGGGGGGGGGCATTTGCCCCAAATACTCCTCCCATGGGCCCAATCTTACCAATGCCGTAAATAGGCGAAATGTCGTGAATGGAGCATATTCACGGTTGGCCGTGAATTGTAAGATTGGGCTCTGGATCTGCCAGTGAGCATAATGTGCTATCATTTATGTCAAGTAGGTAAAATGCAACTGTTTAACGTATTTACGATTTATTGAAGTTGTTTCCATGTGGAGATGTTTAAAAGTTGTTGCGATTGCTGCGTGAGGTACAATGTGTTGCAGGCCATGGATGATTTCAGTGCAGATTCCAGACGTTTTTGAACCATAACACCGTTTTTGCCCGGGCCCTGAAGCTGTGATAGCTCAATACATGTTACGGGACAGAATAATAGGCTGTGCCGCGTCCATAACATTGTTTGAATGACATACTCTGACAAAAACGGCATTCCTTCAATGACTCCTCGGCTGTGCCCGGCTACTGTGCAAAACATGCTGCGCTAAAGACGCGCTGTCCAATCGGACGTATAAAATGATGATTCCGTTATGTGTGCTGAAGCTTGAATTCAGCAAATAATGGCATATGGTATGCCCGCACGCTATTTATCATGCGGGTTATATCCATGCAGTGAAATTTGTGCAACTCAATACTTGTCTAAACGATTCAGAGCCGTTTTCACTTGCTGCAGCTCATTTGTCGCGACTGCCACAAGATCCAACGATCTGTAACGTTAGGTTGACGTGGCTCATTGTGTTATTGTTGCGTTCAGTCTCCGTTTGTTGCACTATCATACGCCATACGTCACACTTCCGTCACGTGTTTCAGGTATGACATCATCCCCGCCCTGACGCCGGGACTCCTCGAGACGTCGGACGGCTCTGGAGGAGACTGCGACGCCGGTACGGTCTGAGGAAGATAACACTGGAGACTGCAGTATCAGCTGGGCGCTAACTCGGAGACTGCAGAAGCGGCTAGGGCGCTAACTCGGAGACTGCAGTAATGGCTGTATCGCTTACTCGGAGACTGCAGTAGCGGCTGAGGCGCTAACACCACCTCAGTGGGCCCGGCCCCAGGCGGCGGGCCAGCTGAGCCAAAGGCGCGCGGCGGGTCATCCACTCCCCACACGGGATCCTGAGGCGGGCGGAGGAGTGGAGCGGAGTGCTCCCGCGATACGCCGCTGACACACGGAAGTCGACACTTTGCGGGGGCGGGGGTGGGGAAAGTGGTATCGGCGGCGCATCGCCGCCCGGTGATGAGGCCGGCCCGTGTCTCTCCGGCGCGGTGAATTGACGGACGGTGAATAGCGGCACAGAGCGCGGACGATGGCGGCGCCGAGGGCGGCACTGGCCGCCGTGCTGGCGACATTGTTCTCCGCAGCGACCGTCAGCGGTGAAGGTGAGTCAAAGACTCCGGTGGCGGAGGACCGCCGAATGAAAGTGGTCCTCGCTGCCGTGAGAGTGTTCCTTTGACTGGAATCGAACAGCGTGAAGGAAGGAAGTCTCACTGCCACATCCGCTATCGCATAATCAATAATTTGAGAGTAATCTTCTTATCTATACCATACATTCTAAAGCTGACGTTTAACCCGCGCGGGGCTGGGGTCTCCAGCCGAACGCGCGGGGCTGGGGGGGGGGGGGTAAATTTTACCTCCCCCTGTTATCTCCCGAACTAATGATCCGATTTGGAAAATTCAAACGCCAATCGAAAGCTCTCATCACGAACAACTAAAAACATGTACTTAATTTAAAGTTTGGGTCAAGGTCAGGTCAAGGGTACAAATTGCAAGTTTCTACAGTATCGGCCTTGCACCGTAGTTGCCGAAGAATGGAGTCATGGACTGAGACTGATCGCCCAAAACGTGTTCTTAGGCTACCAAGACAATATTCGTTGCATACATTATCATTCAGAGGTCAAGGTCAAGGTCAGGTCAGGTCAGGTCAGGTCACCAAAAAGCAAAATACAGAAAAGGGCATGTGCGACACATGTTTTATGGGTCATTTTACTCATAGAATTCAATAGGCACACTCAATAAGTGATATGGACCACCTCTGGATGAATTTCAGGTCGAGGTCAGGTCAAGGTCAGGTCAAGTGAGGTCAAATTTTGAAGTTGGTTGATAAGGCCTAAAAAGGTGTCTATCTGATGCAGTTTTTCACGGCGAATCGAATGGTGCTATTTTTGTTTCCGTACGAGGTCTAGAACTTCCAAAAAAGTCATTTTTCAAAAAATTTGTGTGTCGTGACGTCATAAAATTTTAGATAACTCCCACATTTTTGAACCGATTCTTCTAAAATTTGGTATGTAGGTGCACATAGACCACTTCTCTGACATATATTCCGGTTTTTTTGATAGACTCAAAATTTTGGATTTTATAATCATTTTCCCAAAAAAGTCAGTTTTTTGAAAAAAAAATTTAGGCCAAAATCCAAAATTTTCAAAAAACCGAGATAGCCATTTGATAGACAAAGTAAAATTTCGTATAACCTTTTTTGTTACGTCTTGATTCCTTTCAAAATGAAGATGTTAGCGGCGTTTGAACTTTTGCCGTTTTTGAGGCGAAAATGGCGAACATGACGTCACTAAAACGTCAATTTCTCAGAAATTTCCGACGGATTTCGCTCAAATTTTCAGGGAACGTGTCAAATTGATGTAAGAAAAGGTACTGAAAGTTTGGCGGCGCTGCGCGCCGCCGTTTTTGAGATATCGCAAAAATTCGCGAGGGGGGGGGGGTAAAATTTACCCCCCCCCCAGCCCCGCGTGGGTTAATGCATTCAGCATTGCTCTATCCGGTTATTTTCTGTAACAGGTGATCACCATGTCGCTCGACCTACTTCATACTGCGCTCAAGTATCGAGGAAATTCTCGTAACTCCCAGTCTCATCGCTGCCCCAGTCAGCTGTTCGCTCCACGCTCCGCACCGCCGGGGGGCTGGTCGGCGGTATTGGCTGTCACTGTGCCGTATCAGCGGCTGATGTAGCGCCGGCTGGCGGCCGCTCGCGGCGGTCGCCGGTGCCTGTAACACCTCCGGGCTCTGAACTGCACTGCCCAGCCGGGGCGCTGCGGCGGGCGGACGGACCAGGACGCCCCCGGGCAGGGATATCCGCGGAAACCGTCCATCACGGCCAATCAATGTGTCAGCAGCGGCGGCATTGACAAATGGAGACAGGGCGCTGACGAAATACCTCATCGTTCGCCAGAATGTAAAGACATTTTACCTGTCTTGTCTAGCTTTGATTAATTATGGGAGGCTTAATGGCACAATCGGAAGAAAATAGAGCCATATCACACTACTTCAAATAAAATCCGTTAATGCAGAGTCGTATCATGGTAGCCACAGCAAGGACACGATTAACAATTTTTCTTTTGACATTATGAGGGTTTCTCGCTTATTCAGTTTTTTTTTTTACAGGACCAATATTGCTATGTAATAGCCGTTTTCACGACGGCCATCTGGTACACTTTTGGTGCACATTTGGTGCAGATTAGGTGTATATTTGGTCAAATTAGGTTCAGTGTATCTCTTAGAAGCTATCAGCTAGGGTTGCAATAATTGCTTATATGCCTCCTTTGTCGTATTATCAGAGAGTACCATCGATTAAAACACTGAAATAAATTCATAAAATGAAGATATTTGCTGTAAAAGAGATAAGGTGCAGATTTGGTCGAATCGGGTGCATTCCCCGGATAGCCCGTCGTGAAAACGGCTAATATCTGCTCCGTCTTGCTTGCTCACATGTTGCCCCTTCACTTGATGAAACTTCTTTCCACCTATCACCATCAGAGCCACAAGGCCAATTGACCGCTCTCGTCTCCCGAGTAACACCGGTACTCCCCAGTGACGCCGTATAGTTATACCCCTCTGCAGGCTGTCGGCTGGACAGTATTTCCCAGTGAAGTTGTATCACCCGGTGACGCGGTATTCCCCAGTGATGCCGTACCATCTCCCGGCAGGCTGTCGTCTAGGCAGTGTTCCCCAGTGAAGTTGTATCACCCAGTGACGCGGTATTCCCCAGTGACACTGTACCCACCTCCCGGCAGGTTATCGGCTGGGCAGTGTTCCCCAGTGAAGTTGTATCACCTGCAGTGACGCGGTGCTTCCCAGTGACGTCATACCCATCTCCCGGCAGGCTGTCGACTGGGCAGTGTTTCCCAGTGAAGTTGTATCACCCAGTGACGCGGTATTCCCCAGTGACGCAGTACCCATCTCTCTCTCTGCAGGCTGCCGTCTGGGCAGTCCGGCCGAGCCGTCCCGGTTCGAGAGGGTCCCCGAGAACCTCCAGCCGGGCACCCACGTGCTGGTGTTTGAGGCAGAGGGAGCCGCCGAGCTGGAGCTCAGGCCCGTCAACAAGGTGAGGTGGTGCTACCCAGCTGGGTGAGGCAAACAGAACGCAAACAAATTGGTATCACATCAACATCGTCAACCTCGCCGCTTATAACTTCTCCGTCCAACAATAAACTATCAACCGTTATATAAATTTATAAAAAAAAAACGTCTTCATGCCTATCTAGAGCCAATTCACCCCGTCCCCTCCGTCCCTCGGCTCCGTTCCGCCGCAGTACCGGTGACCGTCACGGTATGGTGCGCGCCCTATCGCCGGAGGGGGGGGGGGGGGGGTGGTGGGGTGTTTTTGTTTGTCTCATTGCGCAGTGTCTCGGAGCGACCTCAGATATTCACCGTCTGTGGCAGTGGCCGTCTCCTCCTCTCGGCACCACCAGCCGTGACCAGGACAAAGCACAGAGCTCGGCACAGAGCTCAGCACAGAGCTCAGAGCGGCCGGGGTGTGTGGCAATAGGCACTGTTTGTGGCAGCTAGCTATTTTGAGACATTTACTTAATGAGCGCTTCATTATTGTAAAAATACCGTGAATGCTACCTGACATTGATAATGCTCTTAACTGAGCCACCACAACGCCTTACACTCGCATTCATTACGCGCAAAGCTCATCAGGCGCGCACACAGGATTTTTGAATGGGGGGGGGCACGACCTTCGAACTGGGCCCCCCATGCCGAAGGGCCCCCCCAAAAAAATACGGCCCACGGGGCTATATTTCGGTTGGTTTGAAGCTTGAGCAATTGGTTTGTCAATGGATGGTAGGTAAAACAATTATTTCGGTACCAGCTTAATTTTCAAAACATATATATTTTCACGCTTAGCATGTTTTTTTAGCATGTTTTTTTTTCGCGGACTCCGGGCACGCGAGTCACCCGGTGGCCCGGGGTCAGCTCAGGCAAGGATGTATCCAGGACCTTTCGATGGGAGGAGGAAGGCACGGTGGGTCCAGTCTCACTGGCAGACGGGTCTCTTTAACCCGCGAGTTGCTGGGGGGGGGGCGTTAAACGCCCCCACTTTTTTCGCCGGGCCATAGCATAAAAACGGCGCGCCGCAGGCGCGCCAAAATTTGGGTACCTGTAGGGAATTGATTGACGTTTATTGTGACAAAGTTTCAAAAAAATCGGTCGGAAAATTTTTGAGATATCGAGGTTTTAGTGACGTCATGATTTCTGAGTTTTCGACCAAAAACGGCATATGTTCAAAAAATCATATAAAATCACAGAATAGACATACAGACATGCCGTAAACGCCATTAGACTGCCAATACCATGGACAATCAAATGGCTATCTTTGATTATTGATTATCGTTCTGCATTTTCCAAAATCTTGAACTGAATCTTGGCAATTTCTCGCGACTACTTCACGACCATGATACATACATTTCTTAAATTGAACTTTTTGAGCCAAACACGTACACATATGATAAAATGAATGTCACCATCTTGTTCTACGCCCCAAATTACCCATAAAACATGTGTCGCAGGCTGCGAATTTCAGTTTTGATTTTCGGGGATATGTGCCTACCCGGTTGACCTGACCTTGACCCTGACCTATGCTTGACTGACCCCTACATGGAGCTGACACTCTTGTAGGCCTTATATGATGGATTGTGCACCGTTTTGACAACGTTTATGACGAGAGGCGCCCATTGCGAAGCCCTGAAGTCCATGCTACTGAAAGCCCGATTTCAGGTGTTTGACCTGACCTTGACCCGACCTGTGACCTCAAAATTCAACTTTAAAGTACTCATCTGAAGCGTCTTGTCGCGCTCTTTCGTTTGCCGCCTCGTGCGTTTCGCTGCGCCTATTGGTTCTCGAGTTATCGGCTGGGGGCGTTTAACGCCCCCCCCCCAGCAAACGGTGGGTGGCGAAATACCCCAGCAACTGCCGGGTTAAAACGGTCTTTGCATGAGAAAATGTGGAAAATCGGCAAGCAAAAGTATCATTTATGCCCGAGGAGTGTGCCTAATGTACACTAATGCCTAATTTACATGGTATTTTACGAGCGAGCGAAGCGAGCGAGCTCCTCAGAGTCACCGGTGTGTGGCGCGCTCAGAGGTGCCAGTGAAAGGCCGTCAGATGCGCTGGTGTTGGGTCCTCACAGGCGCCGTTGCGGGGTCTTAGGGCTTAGAGACACTGGTGGGGCCATCATTGGCATATGTGTGTCCCTGCAAAATGGCCTGCAAGTGGAAAGTGGCCCGTCATAGGCTGGCAAGGACACTCGGAGGCTGGTAAGAGGCCCTCAGAGTCACTGGTACGCGCCTCGGTGTGGGGACTCTCAGAGCCGCCGATGTAGGCCCTTAAGATGCGCTGGTGGGGGTCCCTTGGAGGTGGGGCGAGGGGCCTCGCAGTTGCCGTTGTGGGTGCCTTTAGAAACACTGGTGTGGACCGTGTGTCTATCACAGACGGATGTGGAGCCATAGCAGCCAATCCCTCGTTGGCCGTTACTAGGGCCCTGAGCGGCCGGCGAGGTCTCTCAGAAACCGGCATTGGGCCTTTATGAAGATAATTGTGGCTACATAGGAGCCAATAACGTGCCCCCACAAGCCCTGTGGTGTCCTTTCGAGTTGAAGTGCGGCCAGCGCGAACCCTCTGCTACCAACTGGCGCCGCAGGGCCCCTCGGTTTTGAAGGAACCCTAAACCCGAGAACGGGCACGTACCCCCTCGCTCCCTTGCTATGTCACTGAATCCAAGTGATTAGGGGCCCTTTAGGTAATCAGGGGCGTTTCAGATGACCAGGGGTTTTCAATTGATCAGGGGCCCACCAGGTAACCATGGGCCCCTCTGGTAACCAGGCGTTAAGTAACGAGGAACTCCATCAATAACCAGGGCCCCTCAGTAAACGGGGGCCACTCAGGTAAGTGTAGGAGTCCCGCAGAGGGGCCGGCAAGGTTTCTCAGGTCCGTTTTTTGACAAGGCTCTTATTGACTCAGGTGCGAGCCCTTTGCCATCAGCAGGGGGCCCTTTCAAGCCTTTTGAGGGCCGTTTAACGTCTCTTGAGTTCCCATTGAGGCCTTCTAAGGGCCCTTTGAGCAGTCGAGGGGCCTTTGAGGCCTTTTGAGGGCCTCTTGACGTCAGCTGAGAACCATTGGACGCCAGCTGAGGATCGTGTTTTTGGGCCTTCTGATGGCCATTAGACGCCAATGGATGACCCTCTGACACCAACTGGGGCCCTCTGACACCAGCTAAGGGCACTTTAAGTTTGAAGCTAGCTCAGGGCCCTGTGGCATTAGCTGGGGGGCCCTCTGACGCTAGCTCAAGGCCCTTTGACGCTCTTTAAGGCCTTCTGAGGGCCCTTGAGGTCTTCTAAGGGCCCCTTGAGGTTTTCTAAGGGCCCCTTGAGGCTTTTTGAGGGTCGCTAGACGCCAGCTGAGGACCGTTTGAGACCTTCTGATGGCCATTTGGCGCCAGCTGGGGGCCATCTGGCACCAGCTGGGGGCCATCTGGCACCAGCTGGGGGCCCTCTGTCACCAGCAAAGGACTCTTTAGAGCCTTCGGAGAGCCGTTTGACGCAAGGGCATGGCCCTCTGACGCCAGCTCAGGGACCTTTGACACCCTTTAAGGCCTTCTGACGTCCGTTTGACGTTAGCTGAGGGCCCTTTGAGTCTATCTGAGGGCCCTTTAAGGCCATCTGAGAGTCCTTTGAGGTCATCTGAGGGCTCCTTAAGGCCATCTGAGGGCCCTTTGACACCATCTAAGGGCCCTTTGACACCAGATGAGGGCCCTATGACGCTAACTGAGGGCCCTTCGAGGCCATCTGAGGGCCTTATGAGACCATCTGAGGGCCCTTTAACCCGCGCCCTGCTGGGGGGGGGTGTTTGAGCACCCCCCCTTGTGGTTTTTCGCGAATATCTCAAAAACGGCGGCGCTCCGCGCCGCCGTTTTTGGTACACCTTATCATACATCAATTCTACACATGTTGTGAAAATTTCAGACCAAGGTCATTCAAGGTCAGGTCACCAGGTCACTTGAAGTGACCTCACCTCATAAAAACTTTCAATGTCTGTCATAGCTACACCGAGTGACCGATCGCTTTGAAACTTTCAGCGATTGCTAAGAGCAATAGCATGTACAAAATGTATATCTCAGAATTTTGATATCGATGACCTAAGGTCAGGTCAATTTTGCGACCTCCCCATTATAAGTCAATGGGAGAAAATTGAAATGCGCCTCTTTTGGATGAAAGACATTATAAACACTCTCAAACACCGAATTACAAGTGGTTTAGACACACTGAACTTGAAAATGGTGTCCGTGACCCTTGTTTATGCCCTGAGGTCATCTTAGGTCACGAATGGTATCTAACAGTTTTTCGCAAATAACTTTTAATAGAGGCATGCTAGAGCAATGAAAACGCCTTAGATGTGTTCAGCTCGACGATACGGATCGACTGATATGCAACATGACCCTTTCCGGTCAGGTCATGACCTTGACCTGAGGTCAAATTTTCAAGTTGACCTTTCAAGGTCAAGTCATAGTTCATTCGATGCGTCTTGACGAGAGGAACACGATGCCGGTAAAAGTAAGCTCGTACAAGGCTTGGGTCAAAAGTTATTGCAGAAAAACTGTTTTCGAAAAAAATCGGCTATTTTTGCAGTTTTTGCCCCCTGCAGGCAAAACCGTTGACGTTAGGTCAAATCTGAGAGCATTATTCAGAAAGGGCGTTAATAGGGCTATCGAATGCGCTTTTCCGCGGCGCTGTAGCTCTATTGGTTCCCGAGTTATGCTTTGGCTTCTTGGAAATTTTCGACATTCGACCTGGAAATCGGCGAAATTTTGCCTTCAATGACCTCTGGTGACCTGACCTTTGACCTGACCAAAAAATTGACCGAAGTGATTTCGTCATTATTTTTTACGCTCTTTCGAACGCCGCCTTCCGCGTATCGCTACGTGGCCCAGGAGCCGAGTTACAAGGGGGGGTGTTCAAACACCCCCCCCCCAGCAGGGCGTGGAAATCCAGGACCCCCAGCAGGGCGCGGGTTAAGGCCATTTGAGGGCCCTTTGTACACGGTCTTCGGTGGTCTAAGGACTAGTTAGAGGCCCATTTGAGGCGGCCTTCGGCCGCCTCAAATGGGCCCCTTCCTTCGAGTTGGGCCCCCCAACTCGAATGGGGGGGGGGGGCACGGGCCCGTGTGCCCCCCCCCTTGTGTGCGCCCTTGAAGCTCATTACGCAAAAAGCTGCATCGATATTGCGTGGTCGTTTTAGTGCCCTGCCACTGCAGAGGCGTCCAATCGAGTTTCGCTGACGGCGTGCGTTCGTTTCAGGAGGAGGACTACACGGACTATTTCCGGCCGGTGCTGCTGACCAACGACACGGGCGGTCTGGTGGTCTCCCAGCCGCTGACGTCACTGGTCCGACGGCAGCAGCCCGTCTCCGTGGCTAAGTTCCGGGTGTTCTGCGCCAGCCGGCCACCGTTCACGGTGAGCAGAGAAGTGTTATAGGGGTCTCCCAGCCGGCAGACAATAGTGTTAGAGGGGTCTCCCAGCCGGCAGACAGTAGTGTTAGAGGGGTCTCCCAGCCGGCAGACAGTAGTGTTAGAGGGGTCTCCCAGCCGGCAGACAGTAGTGTTAGAGGGGTCTCCCAGCCGGCAAACAGTAGTGTTAGAGGGGTCTCCCAGCCGGCAAACAGTAGTGCTAGAGGGGTCTCCCAGCCGGCAGACAGTAGTGTAAGAGGGGTCTCCCAGCCGGCAGACAGTAGTGTTAGAGGGGTCTCCCAGCCGGCAGACAGTAGTGTAAGAGGGGTCTCCCAGCCGGCAGACAGTAGTGTTAGAGGGGTCTCCCAGCCGGCAGACAGTAGTGTAAGAGGGGTCTCCCAGCCGGCAGACAGTAGTGTTAGAGGGGTCTCCCAGCCGGCAGACAGTAGTGTTAGAGGGGTCTCCCAGCCGGCAGACAGTAGTGTTAGAGGGGTCTCCCAGCCGGCAAACAGTAGTGTTAGAGGGGTCTCCCAGCCGGCAAACAGTAGTGCTAGAGGGGTCTCCCAGCCGGCAGACAGTAGTGTAAGAGGGGTCTCCCAGCCGGCAGACAGTAGTGTTAGAGGGGTCTCCCAGCCGGCAGACAGTAGTGTAAGAGGGGTCTCCCAGCCGGCAGACAGTAGTGTTAGAGGGGTCTCCCAGCCGGCAGACAGTAGTGTAAGAGGGGTCTCCCAGCCGGCAGACAGTAGTGTTAGAGGGGTCTCCCAGCCGGCAGACAGTAGTGTTAGAGGGGTCTCCCAGCCGGCAGACAGTAGTGTTAGAGGGGTCTCCCAGCCGGCAGATAGTAGTGTTAGAGGGGTCTCCCAGCCGGCAGACAGTAGTGCTAGAGGGGTCTTCCAGCCGGCAGACAGTAGTGTTAGAGGGGTCTCCCAGCCGGCAGACAGTAGTGTAAGAGGGGTCTTCCAGCCGGCAGACAGTAGTGTTAGAGGGGTCTCCCAGCCGGCAGACAGTAGTGTAAGAGGGGTCTCCCAGCCGGCAGACAGTAGTGTTAGAGGGGTCTCCCAGCCGGCAGACAGTAGTGTTAGAGGGGTCTCCCAGCCGGCAAACAGTAGTGTTAGAGGGGTCACCCAGCCGGCAAACAGTAGTGTAAGAGGGGTCTCCCAGCCGGCAGACAGTAGTGTTAGAGGGGTCTCCCAGCCGGCAGACAGTAGTGTAAGAGGGGTCTCCCAGCCGGCAGACAGTAGTGTTAGAGGGGTCTCCCAGCCGGCAGACAGTAGTGTTAGAGGGGTCTCCCAGCCGGCAAACAGTAGTGTTAGAGGGGTCTCCCAGCCGGCAAACAGTAGTGCTAGAGGGGTCTCCCAGCCGGCAGACAGTAGTGTTAGAGGGGTCTCCCAGCCGGCAGATAGTAGTGTTAGAGGGGTCTCCCAGCCGGCAGACAGTAGTGTTAGAGGGGTCTCCCAGCCGGCAGACAGTAGTGTTAGAGGGGTCTCCCAGCCGGCAGACAGTAGTGTAAGAGGGGTCTCCCAGCCGGCAGACAGTAGTGTTAGAGGGGTCGCCCAGCCGGCAGACAGTAGTGTAAGAGGGGTCTCCCAGCCGGCAGACAGTAGTGTTAGAGGGGTCTCCCAGCCGGCAGACAGTAGTGTTAGAGGGGTCTCCCAGCCGGCAAACAGTAGTGTTAGAGGGGTCTCCCAGCCGGCAAACAGTAGTGTTAGAGGGGTCTCCCAGCCGGCAAACAGTAGTGTTAGAGGGGTCTCCCAGCCGGCAGACAGTAGTGTTAGAGGGGTCTCCCAGCCGGCAGACAGTAGTGTTAGAGGGGTCTCCCAGCCGGCAGACAGTAGTGTTAGAGGGGTCTCCCAGCCGGCAAACAGTAGTGTTAGAGGGGTCTCCCAGCCGGCAGACAGTAGTGTTAGAGGGGTCTCCCAGCCGGCAGACAGTAGTGTTAGAGGGGTCTCCCAGCCGGCAGACAGTAGTGTTAGAGGGGTCTCCCAGCCGGCAGACAGTAGTGTTAGAGGGGTCTCCCAGCCGGCAAACAGTAGTGTTAGAGGGGTCTCCCAGCCGGCAGACAGTAGTGTTAGAGGGGTCTCCCAGCCGGCAGACAGTAGTGTTAGAGGGGTCTCCCAGCCGGCAAACAGTAGTGTTAGAGGGGTCTCCCAGCCGGCAGACAGTAGTGTTAGAGGGGTCTCCCAGCCGGCCCCCGTTCAGGTTCACGGTGAGCAGAAACTATATAGTGACATCAGTATTTATATCGATTCGGTAGACTTCATGAGGATGGTATTTTTTTCAGAAAATGTTTTTTTCAGAACAGTTTTCAGTATTTTTTCACATGCAGTTGCGTAGCACGACTTCTTACTTTCGTTTGCTTAGAATACAATGCAAAGGCAAGAAAAAATAGTGAGAGTGAGACGTTCACGTCATGCATGAAGGACTGTTTTCTGTGAATGGTTATCATGGTCAGCAGCTAATCGTGAGTGTGAGAAATGGGCTGATTGTCTCGCGTTTCGAAATGTTACACGACAATCTACTAAGCACTTGTTCCCACCTCAGCATTTAAACAGTCATCACCATTCGAGTTTACAAGATGGGATAATAAGGGAAATTCGTTTGGAACTGGAGGCGACCGGATAATGGAAAGTGAGGTCGTTATTATGGGCGTGCCTTACGGCAGCGTTCATTAACATCTACAGAAGAGGCCACGCCTCACTGGAAACTCCTCATTAAAAGAGTTACGCAATAATGCTGCAAATATGTGCGAAAGACGCACATTACCACTGAACTGCGCCCATCACGTAACTCCGCGCCCTGAAATTTGACCGTCGTCGTTTCCTTCTCATGGGAAACTGAGCCTGTCAACTTAGTAAGTAAATTGGGTGGCCATCAGGGTGGTTTCAACACATTCCTGGATTAGAAGATTGCGAAAAGACTTTCGATGAAAAGTGGGGCTGATATTTTGTCAAAGACCGCATAGCCTCATGCTATTGTCATATAAAGACACAACAGGGTAGTATAGTAAGTCATATGTAAATATGGTGTGTCGTGCAGAGACTGCATCCATCTTCAAAAGAAGAGAAAAAACATTAATGCCATTAAACTGCCTAAGCAATACCATTTCGCAAAACCCACATAGCGGCACGATCAAAATATTATACATAAAGATGATGTGATGCTCAAAGTTCAATCTGTTCCTAAGTTACTCCCGTCATTAATCTTATCAGATCAACCAATGGCTCCAGTACGGTAAACTTTTGATGTCAATGTTTGAACAAGCAGAAGGGAACCCAGCGTGTCTTTCGATCACTGTCTGCAGTCACCAGTTGTGTCAGTTTAATGCAACTGAACTGACTGTGTCACAGGCTGTGTCACCGACTGTGTCAGAGGCGCACCGTGTCACCGGCTGTGTCACCGACTGTGTCAGAGGCGCGCTGTGTCAGTATGTCACGGCTCGTGCTCTGTATCTGTCCATCTCGTCCTTGGCCCCATCCTGCGCCTCTGCTCTGCAGATAGCGCCGAGGTCCCCGGTGCCGTCCGCCACAAACACTCCCCGATCCATTTCTAACGACCGTCTGACGTGTGCCGGCGTCCCCCGGCCGTGCCCGGGGTCACGGGACCGGGGCAGATAGCGGCGTCCCCCCGCCGTACCCCGGGGCACGGGACCGGGGGCAGATAGCGGCGTCCGCCCGGTGACCGTCACCGCCGCCCCGGGGTGAAAGTGACCACCGGTGCGCTAATGTGACGGTCACACGCCCTCCCCGGCTAATGTGCTGTGACATAACGCGATACACGGCGCCCGCCAGCGTGTCATTTAATACTCCGGCGAGACGAAAGGAAAACAACTTTCATTGTGTTTCACGGAGGTGTGAAGTCGAAAAGGAAAAACATCCGATAAGACTGCATCGACTTAAATTATTATTCAAGTATGGAAGTAATTTTTGAATGGATGTTTCAACTTGGCAAATGTCACAGAAACCCACATGAGTAGCTAAAAAAAAGGCAAGAATCACAGCGCTGAAAACAGCTCGGCGTATGCACTATGCAAACAATGCCGCTCTAAATAAAAAGCGTCCAGTGAGCAGTCCATAGACTGCTCACTGGGCATTGCTCAATTAGACTAAAATTGAAATAGCGCCCTATCCTGTTTCTGACCGTGACGTCCGTTGCAAACCTTCGACAAATAGCCCGAAGGAGTATCAGTGGCGCGTGCTCGGTCCCACGCTGTTCCGATAGCTCAGCAGGGGGACGCACGAGGACGCCATACATGTGAGTGATGTGAGCTGCACTGCTGGCTGCTCGCCCGCCTGCCGTGTGACGGTCCGGCCCCGAGCATAGTGCACAGTCGGCCGACAGCCCCGCCGGGCCTGTACCCGGGGTTACCGCCGGCGCCGGGGGCTGCAGTTTGCATCAGCAGCGCGCGTGCTCCATCACTAAAGCCCGCTTCATATCAGGATTGCTGCAGTCGCTGCGGGCAGCACACGCTCGGTGTCGTTTGGACGCCCTCCGGACAATGTGGAGCAGGCGGCGTGGGGAAACGGTGGACATAATGGAATATAATGCGAAAATGGACTGCAATCCAGCCGTTGTGATGTTGCAGCCTGACCTTGTGGACACTGGGCAGTGGACAGTCCACAATGGCAACAGGATGCGCTGGTCTATGGACGCAACCCTTCTATGTCGCGACACGAACAAAGCTGCCTATAGGAGCTCAGTTGCAACTTGCAGGGGTCTTGGGCCAGCGTAATCGTCATCGGCAGGCAACACTGTTGACATTCACTGCTTTCAGCATTGTGATGGATTCGCTGACAAATTACAATTGTGAAACAAAAAGCTGACCTCAACTTGATGTCAAATACGCACATGGTTTTCATCAGCGGATCGTCATTGTTAAACTACCGAAGTTATATATGTACGCCGCACACATTTTATTAACATATTATGCTCAAAATGCATTATGCTCCCAGCTATATAAGGGTGTAAAACAACCTCAGGAGAACAGCAGCTTTAATTACTAAATTTTAT